ATTCCTCTGACGTTTTATGTGGATCATTTCCGATATCAAACGTTTGCCCAAAAAAAGCTCTTCGTCCAAGACTTTTATATCCTCCCAATTAAAATCATGATTCAGCAATCTATGCTCCGATATAACTGATAATTGTGACGCGTTTCTTTTATATTGTACGGTGTTCTTCCGTCCTAGTTTTTAATAATCTACCCGTCTGCCCCACGTACAACGCATCACAATTCATACAATCAATTTTGTAAACTACATTGTTATGGAGTTCTCTTGGTAACTTATCTTGTGTACTTTAAAGAGTTATCGTTTCGTTAACCACGCGTGTGATTTTATTATCCAGCTCACTGTCTCTCGTCTTACTATAATAACGTCACTTTCTCTTCGGAGTGCCTGCCGCGAACGGCAAGTGCGCTATCATAATTTTTGGTCCTTCGAGCCAGATCTCCAACGGCTTTGGAATTCGGAGCAAGGACGAGGAAAAGGCCGGTGACTCGACACGTGGTTTTAGGAGCCATCTTGGATCTGAACGGCTTTCCGACGGATATTCCGTCTATCCTGTGAACATTTTAACATTAGTACGCGTGTGGACGTGAACTTCCAAGTGCTTAGACGCATCCGCGCAGAAGACTCCGCGAGGACGTGACCGTGCAGAGCACCAGGAGTCGATTTCCAGAGTTTTCGCTCTCGCCCACCCGCTGTGTTACCGCGAGTGCAGTGAACATATCCCCGCGCAGACGAATCCGTGGCATCGAGGCGTCATATTCCAAGGCGGAAACGAGCCCGGAACATACGAGAAGACGGCGGAACGTGAACATCGTCCCCGAGTACAGCACCCCCTCTCCCCCGCAACCAACAGCTGCGCGAGTTCGAGAAGAGGGAATCGGCGCGGTGAGGGACGTTACCGGCATTTACGCCTCACGTATCCGTCTGTCTCACACAGGTGTCTCGCTCGCACACTCACGGTAGGAGATCTATCGCGCGCTCTCTCTTACAACCAGACGCTCCGGCAAGCAGCGTTCTCGGTCGCACGCACGCGAACGTGCATGCTACAGCGTGCCCTGTATTGGACGCTCACTCGCACTCGCCACGGCTCGTGTTCTCTCGCGACCAACGGACGCTCGTGCGGTATTTACTATCTCTTCTTCTTAGTTCGCGTTATTTACTCGCGTTCGAACTCTCATCGGCTTTCTCTCTCTCTCTTATTTTTACTCGAAAAGCGCGCAAAACAACACGCGCCGTAACTTTTTTGTTGTTGCGCGCTCGCCGTTCTCATCATGCCGATCGACAAGGCGGAAGTCACGATCGAAGCGCGATCACGATCTGATCGCCAATTTTCAGGCGAATACTTCCAAGCAAAAGGCAGCGAAGGACACGACGCTGAGCGACTATCAAACTCGGGATCGCTTCCTTGAAGGTTATTGGAGCGGCTTTCAGGCAAGAGATTACCAGCTCTATCCGTATGCTGAGGAACTCAAAGGCCTCACGTACTTCAAGGACAATCTGTATGAGTCCGGGATGACGGCCTATCTGTCGACTAGTCGTGGCTAACCGAGCGCATTGCCGCGAAGACGATGCCTGTATTGCCCGTTAGAACAGTATCAAGCGCTGCACTTTTAGCCTCGCTTTTTCCGCTTGAACGCGTCAAGCTTCCGAAATTCGACGGGACTCAGAGAGACTGGCAGAGTTTTAAGAGTAAATTTCAATCACTTGTTTTAAATGAGCCAAACATAAGCGCGGTTATTAAATTTCAGCATCTTCTCAACTCACTGAAAGGAGATGCTAAAGGCAAACTCAGAGGACTAGAGGTCACGGGAGATAATTGTATCACTGCCTGGGAGTCGCTCTGCAGTCGGTACGACAACATCTTTCTGAGATTCTCTACTCATTTCAATGCGTTGCTCGCGCTGCCTTCGTCGGCCAAGGAGAAAAACGCGCATTTGAGTAACCTTCTCAATACAACGAACGAGAGCATCAACGTTGAGCACTGGGACATGGTGTTCATCCAATGCATTGAGTCCAAGTTAGCTCCTGCCTCACACATGAACTGGGCAAAGCAAATCGAGACCATTCAGGATGGATTCTTCCCGAAATTCGACCTTTTCAAGAAATTTCTTGAAAATCGGATTCAGACCTTGAACAGAATCGAGGCAATATCTCAGGCGTCAGCTGATTCCAAGATCAAATTTTCCAGCAGCCAACAAGGAAGCTCATCTAATAAGCAGCCGAAGGGGAAGAACACCGCGGTTCACACGACGGTCTTACCTTCAAAGTCAGGCTCAAAGTCGAGATCATTAGACTCTGTGTCCTGCGCTCACTGCCAAGGATCGCATTTCGTCAGCAAGTGCAAAAGCTTTGCCTCTCTCTCGCAGGGCAAACAAAGCACCTTGTTGTCAGCAAGGGTCTATGTACGAATTGCTTCAGCAGTCATCACAAGGTCGACGACTGCAAATCTCAAAGACGTTGTCTCGTGTGCGCGGGTCTGCATTACACGCGACTTTATCAGGACGGGCAACCTTCCGGATCTACAACGCAACACCTCTCCGAATCCTCAGGAAAAACCACAGCGCATGTGGTCACATCCAGCACACCTCAGATCTTCAGCGAGTTCTGCGGCACGAATCAGCTTCTAGCTACGGCCGTGGTCACATTGCAATCTGAGACCGGGGTGTCTCTAACTGCGCGTGTGCTTCTGGATTCTTGCGCAGAGCAATGCATTGTTTCGGACTACGTTGTCCGGGCGCTCAACTTGAAGCGCAACCCCGTTCACGTCATTGTCAATGGCACGGGCGGCACTACAAACGCCGTTGCTCAGAGTCGAGTGGAACTCACTCTGAAATCGCAACGCAATACTGACTTTTCTCTCAATTTCTCAGCTCTGGTGTTGAAGAGGGTCTCCAATCTGGTGCCCAGGAGGCGGGTCAAGCCTCAGGAGAGATGGAGCCTTGGAGACGGCCTTCATCTAGCCGACCCTTATTTCGGGTCGCCCAGCAGAGTAAACTGCATTCTCAGCTCGGCAGTTTTCGGCGCCACGATACTGCCTGGAATTAGAAGGGCTGCCAATCCTCTTCAAGCTCCGGTAGCACAAGAGACCGTCTTCGGTTGGGTCCTCTTGGGCAGTGCTGGGCCGGTCGACGATCGCAGTGACGCGACGTCCGTGCATCACATCTCCGTCGACCACGAGCTTACTAAGGCCGTGGCCAGGTTCTGGGAGGCCGAAGAGCTTCCGCGTGTGCATCGGCTGGCGCCTGACGACCAGGAGTGCTGGGACCACATCAAGAAGTCATCCTTTCGTAACGAGGAAGGTCATTACGTTCTACCGCTTCCCTTCTCCGAAACCCCTCGATTTGTTGGCATCGATACTACTGCGGGGGCCTGTATGAAGCGCCTCGAGCGTTGATTTGCCAAACAACCCGACGTCGCGGCCGCATACTTTGCCTTCATGCGCGAGTACCTCGACCTCGGCCATATGCAGGCGGTGCCAGAGAGCGAGCTGGAAGCCAACCAAGTCTACTATCTGCCACATCATCCTGTTTCCAAGAAGGATTGTGACAAAATCCGATTCGTTTTTAATGGCTCTCAGAAGGACGCCCTGAGAGTCTTTCTCAATTCCAGGCTTCATGCTGGCCCCAAGTTGCAGGAGAACCTTGTAGTCGTGTTGTTGAGATAATGCTTCCTTTAATACGCGTTCACCTGTGACGTGGTGAAAATGTTCCGGCAGATGTTGATCCACTTGCAGGATCTGGACTGGCAGCGCATCTTCTGGAGGTTCTCACCCGAGACGCCGTTGCTTGCGTACCGCCTGCGCACGGTAACGTACGGCACGGCCTTGGCCCCTTTCCACGCCAACGCCTGCCTGTTGGATCTTGCCGAGGCGGAGGCGCATCGCTTTTCACGAGGGTCCAAGCTGCTCCAAAAATCGCTATGTCGACGATTTTTTGGCCGGGGAAGACACACTCGAAGAGGCAGCAGCTGCTAAGTCTGAGCTTGTTGGCATCCTGTCCTCAACAGGAATGGCGGTAGACAAATGGGCTGCAAACCACGCCGACCTTCTCGGCACAGCTGAGCCGCTATATTACCGAAGGCTCACTGAGATCGACACGGTCTCAACTCTGGGCTTGAAGTGGCTACCCCACACGGACGTCTTCAATTTCGAAGTGCGACTTCCGTCTTCACCTTCTGCAGTGACGAAACGCACAATTCTCTCTCAAATTGCGACGCTGTTTGATCCGGTACGCTGGGTCTCTCCAGTGGTCATACGGGCGAAGTTGCTTCTGCAGATCCTGTGGCTTCAGGGTGCAGACTGGGACGCTCAGGTCACAGGCGACCTTGAACAGTCTTGGCTCACGTATCGGACGGAATTGGCGGATCTGAAGGCAATTGAGATTCCACGCTGGCTGGGTATTACTGGATCAACGGAGTGGCATCTTCACGGTTTCTGCGACGCCTCCGAGCGCGCGTTCGCAGCAGCCATCTACGTCGTGGTACCAGCAGCATCACGGTCTCGGCTGTTGATGGCCAAATTAAAGGTCGCACCTCTAAAGGTTGTTAGCCTTCCCGAACTCGAGCTATGTGGAGCTTCTCTTCTTGCGCGGCTGATCGTCTGCACTCTGCCGCAACTGGAAGCTCAACCGACGCAGATTCACTGCTGATGAGACTCTCAAGTAGTCCTGTCGTGGCTACAATCGCATCCATTAAAATGGAAGGCATACGTGGCGAACCGGGTCAGCGAGATCGCCATTTTCTTACCCACTGCTGCTTGGCGCCACGTCAGATCGGCTCACAATTCCGCGAACCTGGCAACCAGAGGATGCTCTTCCCGGCAGCTGCAGGGATTCGGAATCGGGTGGAGAGGACCTGAGTGGCTGACACGACCGCAGGCCGAATGGCCCTCCAGGCCTATCCTCGAAGCCACGAAGTTGGAGTTGCGCAGCCTAAACAACGTTTGGCTGGCGCAACCGGACCTACCATTTTTCGACTGGCTGCAAAAGTTCTCGTCTTTTGACAAGATGAGCGCGATTCTTGCCTACGTACATCGCTGGCGATTAAACTCAAAGCTAGCGAAATCTGATCGCCGCAAGGGCCTTCTGTTCTTGCGGGAGTTATCTTTCGGATTGGTGACGCTTCTCAGGTTGGTGCAGATGGAGACCTTTTCGGAGGAGTTCCAGAGCCTTGCCTCAAAGGGGGGGGGGTCCGTGTCAACAGTCCCCTTCGTAAACTCCTGCCCTTCGTCGACACTCAAGGTCTGCTCCGTGTCGGTGGCAGGCTCCAGAATTCCTTCCTCTCGGAATCCGAAAAGCATCCGATCATCCTTCCTAAGAACCATCACGTCACCGTCCTACTTATACGCAGGGCCCACATATCTACGTTACATGGGAACTACCGTTTGGTGCACAATTATCTGTTGCAGAAATATTGGATCCTGCGTGCCAATACCATCATTCGGCGCATTGTACGAAATTGCGTCAGGTGCACTCGCCACAACGCCATCACCCTCGAGCAGCAAATGGCGCCGCTGCCGGCCATCCGAGCCAAACCGGCTCTGCCATTTGCGCACTTTGGAGTCGACTTCGCCGGCTACTTCTGCGTAAAGGCCTCATCTGGGCGAGGGCAGAAGACCTCTAAGGGATACGTGGCAGTGTTCGTGTGCCTCGTCGTCAAGACCATTCATCTGGAGCTGGTCTCTGATCTGACGACTGACGCGTTCCTGGCGGCATATCGTCGCTTCACCGCCCGGCGTGGACTCTGTCAGATCATTTACTCTGACAACGGCATCACCTTTAAGGGCAGCGAGGCCGAGCTACATAGACTCTTTTCGGAGACCTCCGCCACCGGTCAGGCCGTAGCGGCTGCCGTGACGTCGGATGGAGTGGAGTGGCGATACATCTCCCCTCGAGCTCTAAACTTCGGGGGCATCTGGGAGTCCAACGTCAGGTCGATAAAGCGTCATCTTTACAGAATCATTGGCAACTCTAAGCTCACGTACAAGCAGCTGTCTACCGTGCTGGCCAGCACAAAGGCCTGTCTTAACTCCCGGCCGATTAGCGCGCTCAGCTCGGATCCGAACAACGCCTCAGCATTGACGCCCGGACAGTTCATCATCGGGAAGCTCCTCGTTGCTCCCCCGGAACCTTTCACGGAGATCAATCAGCCGGGGCAACAATGTTCCGGATGGCGTCCGCTGCAGCTCATGAGGAATCACTTCTGGCAGCGCTGGAGGTACCTGGCGGAGTACCTGGCTCAGCTGCAACAGCGGTCCAAATGGCTCAAGCCAAATCGACAGCTTCAGGTGGGCGACTTGGTCCTCTTCAAGGACAAGCTGGCCCCTCCGACGAAGTGGCTGTTGGCCAGAGTGGTGCGACTTCATCCTGAACAGAATGGACTGACGAGAGTCGCCACCATTCGCACATCGGCTTCGGAGTTGGTGCAATCCACCAATAACCTCATCTTGCTGCCAGTGCACGAAAAGACCATCTCCAATTTTAGTCAATTCGAGTCATTCATGGCGGTGTATTAGCTTCAAGATATGCGAACTTTTTGAGTGTAACTTGTGACGTGGTCTTTTTGAGCCCGTCACAAGGGCGGACGCGCCCGGCCGGGAAGCGTCTGAGAGCGCTATATTATTTTGTGTCTCGTGCGGGTGAGCAGCGACCTTTTCGCTAGCTCGCCCGCACTCTGTATCGGGATCGAGGTGGTAGGCCAGGAGAACGGCCATTGTTTTAGGGAGAAGAGGACCCGGACAGGCGACGGAGGAACGACCTCGAAAGGGAGGAGCAGAGACTGAGCGACCGGCCCGGTGAGTATTACGAACGATAACCTATACACGGTACCGAGAAAATAAGGAAGCGATACTGCAGAGAAACTCGTTACAGCTTCGATGGGACGAACAGGAGCAGTCCAGATCAGGGAGTAAAAGGCGCCTACATCCCTCGACAAGGATGATGCCCTGAGGGGCCCGCCACCACGCCTCGAGAGAAACACGGAGATCTAACGGGATTGATCACCCCGGAACGACTTCCCTCAGCCAAGAAAGGTCGTTTGGAACATCAGCATACGGCCATACGAGGTGTGGACGGGACCGCCGAAAATGGACCTGCTACATCATCGCTCCCGAGGGCTGGAATTTGAATTTGGCGGCGGAAGTCCGCGACCAGCCGCGAGACACCGGAATCGATACGAGGATCGATTCCGGGTCCGGCGCGGGGCGCAACGCTGCCGCGAAACCTGGCAACCGGGCCGGGGTGGCGCGCATTGTCTTCCCCCTCCCCACCAGCGTACCTGCCGAGGTCCCGCCGGCCCGAAAGGAAATCACTGTTCGGCAAGCCGGTGTCCTGCGAGCACACCCAGGGACAACGACCCACTACAGCCCACTGCGACGACGAAATATTGTAAGGCCACCTCCTCGATCGTCCGGTAAGCGCGGATTCGGCAGAGATCCGTGAGTCATTAGGGAAATATAACGATACCGAGCAATTATGCTGTAGATAATTTAGTACCGAGAATTAGTTGGGAGACTCACGGAATTCACGTCGATTTCCGCGTCATTAAGTTATTGCGTAAATCTTTGCCTTCTTCGCCTCTCCGAGGGGCACCGAAACGAGTCGACAGTCATATCGTAGTATATTATATTTGTAGCATTGTATCGAGTCATTAATTAACGAAATTTGAGAATAAGTTTCGCTGGATTGGTATATGATCCCTTCGATTCCGAGCCGGTTACAAAGGGAGGAGAGTAACGATAACTAAAGATTTCGATAACACCCAGCGATCTCCCAACGGCTCGATAATAAAATTATAGCTACTTTGATTCACACCATTTATATACTATTAACTGAAAATATATTCTTATTTTATCCTATTTCTGAGTACAATCAATATCGAGATTTCCTCTCTCTCTCCGGGACTGCGATTCCGAATCTCCTTACGGAAAGAACCACGACACTCTACCCCTTGTTGATACCGAGCTACCGAGGCCGAGCCGTCGTGTCCGCTGATTATTAGTTGAGCTATTGTTGAGTGGTGAGGCCTGACCGCACCTGGCGCCCAAAAAGATACGATACCGAGCAATCAGTGATACCGAGCAAGTATCGAGAGAACGGAGAGCGGCACGACGAGGTTGCGCAGCAGTCTCTCTCGCCCTCTCTCTCTTAGTTTGACGAGAGAGGACGGAGAGGCGGTCGCAAACTATTTAAACGAGTTTAGTTTGCGAATTGTACGCGCGATGTTTCTGATTTGCGATAGTCACCGCGTTGAATCTTTGAATCCTGCGCGTATTCTAGTTCCGAAATTATATCATATTATTGTTTTCCTTTTAGTTTTAGATTTAATTCAAATGTGCAATTTTAATTTTACAGTCATTCTAAAGGTATTATCGGAGAATTTATAATTTTTAAGTTCTTTCATTCTCGGGTTTCATGTACGCAACCCTCTTAATTATTGTGATCATATCGAGTCAATTTATCATTGCTGTATCAATCGCTCGAACTTAATACTTCGAGCGATGGCGAGCGGAATGTTCGTGTGGAATATTGCCGCGAACGCATTGTATACGTGTCCTTAAGGATCTCCTAGAGGACCTTTGTACACAGCGCGTAAGGTATCGTCTTGCGCTCGCAATTCGGCAGTTTTCGTACCGACGCGCCCCCCCCCCTTCTCCCCTTGATCAGTGAATCACGGAGAGAAGGAATTCGCTTCCTTCTTCTGTCGTGCGACTTTGGGATAGACGCAAGCGATTGTGAAAAGTGCGAAATATAGATTAAAGAGTTATCGTTTCGTTAACCACGCGTGTAATTTATCATCCAGCTCACTGTCCCTCGTCCTACTATAATAACATCACTTTCTCTTCGGAGTGCCTGCCGCGAACGGCAAGTGCGCTACCAATATATATATGTAAATGTTTTATTTATATAGTTGAAGAAAATATGTGCAAATAAGCCTACTGTGAATAAGATTACAGTGGTAGATAAAAAAAGAAGAGAAATAAAGCGGAGAGAAAAAAGAGCGTTTTACTTAAAGTCTAAGAAGATAAAGAATAAACTAAAAAGAAAGAGGAAAAGAAAGAGAAAAAAAACGAAAAATATAATATTAAGTAATAATAATTTATAAAATAAATTGTTGAGTATATAATGCAGTGTTTAACTTGTATACTTGAATAACTTTTAAATTATATTTTGCATAAAAAATTGTTTGATTTGGAAAAAATTACTACATAACTTTTTTTATTTTGTAACTGAAAAAGTTTTTTTTGTAACTGAAAAAGTTTCAAAAATTTAAATATCAACTTCGTTTTTTTTTTTAAATGTAGAAGCTATTTTAATTTTTTTTTATGTAAATCGATTATTTATTTTTTGTAATATTTTGAATAAAAAGTATAAAGGTTAAAAAAGTAGAAATTAGATGATATAAATATATATACGAAGTATATATATATATATTCAATTCAATTCTTTATTCTTCAATATAAAAAAACCTGTTAATCTTGGCTCGAATTATTGTGTTACAATAAAAATAAATTCTTGACGGCAATCGGAGCCTGTGCGGATGACATGCACAAAATTAATAAATTAAATTCATCAAAGTACACAAGAATAAGTTACCAAGGGAATTCCATAATAATGTAGTTTATAAAATTGATTGTATGGATTGTGATGCGTCGTATGTAGGGCAGACGGGTAGATTGTTGAAAACTAGGATGAAAGAACATCGCAGCAACATAAAAAGAAACGCGTCACAATTATCAGTCATATCGGAACATAGATTATTGAACCATGAATTTAATTGGGAGGATGTAAAAATCTTGGACGAGGAGCCTTTTTTAGGTAAACGTTTGATATCCGAAATGATCCACATAAAGCGTCAGAAGAATAGTTTAAATTTACATAGCGACACCGACAAATTAAACGAGAATTTTGATCTGTTAATTGAAAAATTTACCAAAATCTAGCTTTGTGATTATACATAACCGGATTTTTTCGTTAGACCTTTGACATGAGTGCCGATAAGTATTAGTTGTTTTTATATTTATTTTCATATTTTATTTTTATATTTGTTTTTTTTTGCGTATATATGTATCGACTGTGTCGAGGTAGAATACCGCACAGTCGTTAGAGTGATGTGTCACGTGTAGCATCGTCTTCTCTCTGTTTTTGCTGTCGGGGTGAGTGTTCTTCCCGGTTTTTAATTTTTAATTCTTGTGAATTGTTCTACGTTTAATTTATATCATGTTGATTAGTGTTGGTAAGGGAGTCACGGCTCTACTTCCTTCCTGACGATGGTCACCGTTAGGGAGACACTCCGACGGCCGGACGGTTTGAATAGGGAGGAGAATGATATTTAATTTATTTGCGGATTGTATGTATACGAGTTTTATAATTTTCTGATTGTACCGATTATCTTCTATTTTTGTTTCTTTGTATTTTGCAGCTACTGAAGAAGACCCGAAGTGGGTCGAAACGTTTAGAATTTAATAAATGAGTTTGATTTGAGATCTCATTTTAATTTATTAATTTAACTTAATTTCCTTTTTTTCCATTAAAAAAAATGGTCAAAAAAACGCCTTTTTTAGGCCGTTACAGTGGTGTTATCTTTTAAATTATTACTTTAAAACTTGTAACAAAGATCCCATCGTCCCGACGAACCGTCGGAAGGCCGCGCCCGGCGAACATCAGCCGGGCAATGCGGCAGGCGTTTTGTGTCCCATAATTACTTTTCACAAAGCCGATAAAACGGCGTGACAATTATCACATTATCGCGCGAAACGGCACAAAGCCGAGCGCGCCGACGGCCGCCAAAACCAGCCGAACGCCGCTGCCGCGTCGATGTACTGTTATCACGCGCGTATAAAAGATAGTTTGATTCCTAGGAAAAGACACTCCGTCTCCGATTCCGACACTATCCGGATCTCCGGGACCGGTGCTCCGAGTTGAGGTAGAAGCGTACTCTGCCTCTGTTGAGAAATCTCAGTACCCGGGAGACCACCGAACACCCTGAGAGCCATCCTGCTGTCGGCACCTGGGGTAGAAGCGTACTCTGCCTCTCCCGAGTTTGTCTCGGGGCCGATCGACACTCTTTTTCTCCAAATAAGCTTCTCCTGACTCTCCGGCCGCTCTCGAGTGGAGACCCGCCGCTTGTGTCGCGCCAACGTGACAGCCGGTGCATCCTACTACCTGCAGTTCGGCGGTGGCACGCCGAGACTGCATTTACGCTGGAGAATAAACAAAATTCTCCCGCAAAAGAATCTTCTCGCGATTTCCGCGATGCGCCGCCCACTCTCGCATCTACCCGACCGACCGTCCCGCGTAGGAGTACGCGCCGTACCCCATTTCGCCGTTCAACGCGCCCCTTACGCGTAGCCGTTACACCCCCCGACTTCTTATATTCACGCGTTCGGCGTTAACTCCAAAAGTAGCCCCGCGGCCATCAGTCTCGGTATCCCCACCTCCGCGATTGCGACCCGCCTTGACACCTGTCAACGGCAGATTCTGTCCGTCGGGAAAAATGCGCCTACACACCGGCGCA